CAATCCAAATTTGCTGCTACAGACAAGATAACCCGGATTGTATTGAGTTTTGCTACAGGAGCGAATGTTTCTGTGTAGTCAATGCCATAGGTCTGTGTATAATCTTTTGCAACGAGGCGAGCTTTATATCGTTCTATTGTCCCATCAACTTTGTACTTCACGGTAAAGACCCATTTACAGCCAACGGGTCTTTTCCCTTTGGTAGCTCTACCACATCCCAAGTTTTATTTTTCTCCAGTGCTTGCATTTATTCTAAAACGGCATCTTTCCATTTGGGAATAGTCATGGCTTCTTGAATATTTTTTGGAATTTTTGTACTATCAAGGTTAGAAGTAAAGGTGCGAAACCCTGTAGAAAGAGTGTTATATGATACAAATTTTGAGATAGGATGGAGAGTACATGATCGATGTTGTTTTCTGAGAGCAATAGGTAAGTTAATGTCTGAAGTAGTGGGAGAGATACCTTGTAGATTTGGAGCTATCACCGGTTTGACTCTCTTGGTGCTTCAGGTGTAAGGCTTTCATTGTACCTTGATTTTGGTTTTCTTGAGTAAACTAATATCTCTTTGCCAAGTTGTTTTTCTTTATCTCCCCCTAAGTGTGAGTTTTCTTCTGCAAATGGCATATTAGAACTAGATGACGTAGTAGGTTCAGTGTTTGGAATAGATTCCAGGGGAGAAGAGAGATCAATTTTCAAGAACCGATCTTCATCTTCACTGACATTCTCCCCCTGAAGAGAGGCTTTTTGAAAGTATGGAGTTTTCTCAGAAAATGTGACATCAAGACTAACAAATACCCTTTTTGTTGTGGGATCATAGCATTTATAACCTTTCTGTGTAGAAGAATACCCGATTAGTACACACTTAAGAGCACGAGGATCTAGCTTAGTCCTATGATGTGAATGAATATGGACAAAAGCTGTACATCCAAACACTCTGAGAGGTAAGGTTGAGTTAAGACGGGAGTTAGGAAAAATGTTCCTCCCATTTGGGAAAATAAGTGTAAAGGTCGTGATATTCCAAGGCCTCCTTCTCCGTATAGAAGGTGTATTGACAATCATCCTTCCGCTTCATTGGCGCCACTTCCTTCCGTTAAGTCCCTTCTACGACTTCCCCCATCTAATGTTCCCTCTTCCCCTGCTTCTTCTCCCTCTGGTCTTCTTCTTCGGTTTCTTTCCTTTTCTCTTCAGTTTCTCCCCCTTTCTTGCTGCCTTTCTTCTTCTTCTTGCCGGAATTCTTCCTCTGTTGCTTATCTTCTTCACTGCTGCTCTTATGTGGTTATTCCTGTGAGTGACTGTTGCTTCTAATTAATTGTAGGAGAACATATCCGTTGATTCTACGTCAAATTTGGTATTTGTCTTCTGTTTTGGTCTGTGGGCGGTGGTTTATTGGAAATATTTGGTGGGTTTTATAGTTGGTGGGCTGTGGAACTTTGGTAGTGGGCTGTTGTTGTATTTGACATGGTGAAGAGGATAACGAGAGTTGCAACAGATGTGATTGTGTATATGGTAGTTGCTGGAAATCTTGAAATACTGTGATTTCCCCGTTGTGGAGTTGCAGGGAAACTTACGGTAGATACAAGGTGATGGCTTTTTGATTGTAACTGGACTGATTCTGTAGCAGGGGATTTGTAGCGGCGTGTGTGGAATTGCTGAGTGTTCTGGGATGTAGATTGATGACAGAAGCCAGGTTTAGCTCTGATACCAAATTTGATATAAGATCAATTGGATTCCAGCAAAGAAAGAGAAGAAGAGCAGTAGCAGAATTCTAGCAAGAGGAAGAAGAAGGCAGCAAGGGGGTGGGGTGGGGTGGGGGGGAGGGACCAGAGAGAAAGGGGGAAGAGACCAGAGAAGAAAACCAGGGGAAGAAGCAAGGGAAAGGGGGCAAACTTGATCAACAAACCATTTTTATCCTTCATTCATTGTCTACCTTTAATGTTGCAATACAAGGCACATATATATATAGAAAATAAGCAAACCCAAGCATAAAGGGCTTGGGCCAACCCATTTAATATAAGCCCAACTAAACATAAATAAAATAGTCAAAGTCCAACTACAAAATAAAAGATGTCCTCATCACTATCCTCCTTGAGTTACTGTCTTCATTCTAATCTTTGAATACTAATATTTTTCTCCATCCAAAATTGGAATAATGGAAATTGATGAGTTAAAAGTTGGAGTCACCATTTTGGGGAGGCATGTTTCTGCTGCACTAGACTTCAAATGTATTTAGATATTCTGCTGCCAACAGGTGCAAGATCGATGGCTTCAAAATTTGTCCTATGGTTCTTAATAGATTATTTATTAGGAATTACTTTATCTGCCCGCTAAGTTTGAGACTTTCTTTTTGGTAATCATCGTGTTGATGTTTGTAATATTTTAAATTTTCTTAGTTCAGTTTTTGTGTTATTATTCTGTATATATATATGCACATGCCTGATCTCCTATGTACTCAGGTGATATGGCATACTACAATAGGTAGTGAGAGATAATTGTTGGTTACAAAACTAATTACACTACTTATTGTAGTGTTCCACGTCTAAGCACGAGCTAAGCACTAGTGTTTAAGATATCAATTTTGTATATATATATGTGCCCCCTAACATGCTTTCACTTTTTACAACAGGTATTTTGATTACCTTTTCTACATTGATTTCGAGGCATCTATGGCAGAACCTCGTGCACAATATGCTTTGCGCCATTTGCAGGTGCACAATCTATAATTTTGTAATGGAAAAATACAAGATATGTTTATTTTCTAAGCTTTTATTTTGATGCCAAAATCGGAGAGTCTAATATTTACAAAAAATATTTTTTATCATATTATTCCACAGGAGTTTGCAACTTTCCTCCGAGTACTTGGCTGTTATCCCATGGACACGTCTGTTTAGATTCTTGCTGGTGTTGGGACTCTTCTAATGTACCTTTTTTCTTAGTCAAGCCTTTTTGGATAACGTCGTCAGTAGGGAGAGTGAATCTTTTTTGAGTTGTGGATCCAAGAACTCGTGCTTTTCCGATTAAAGGGAAGAATATGGATTAAAATGAAGAATTTAATTTTCTAACATTTGGATTACATTTCTTTGAATATTTGTTTTTCATAAGAGTCATAGCTCTCCAGGGTTCAGTAGTTGTCATAGATTAGGTTGTTGGAAGATTTTGAGAATTATTACAGCTGATTACTGCCCTACTCTTTCAATAACTCTGTTTTAGTCCTTTTTTATTTAATAATTGTGGAAAATCAGATTTGTAAATTAGACTAAGATTATTCTTTAATTATTTGTAATTTGGTCAGTATGCTATTTCTTTTTCGATTTTACAAATTTTATCCTTAAAGTTGGAGGGAAATTTCATGTTGATACTTGACATTTAGTTACTAAAGTTTCTTAATGGTTCAAAACCACTCTGTTAGTAAGATTAATGTGAAATTGTGTGTGATTTTAAAGCCATTGTGTACCTACGGGAAGTTAATCCCATTGCTACATGCTAAGGGATAAATTTTGTATCGAATAAAGATGAAAATGTATATCAACAAACTACTCTTCTTACTGAGGTTGACTTTTTAAGATGGAATTTAAGTCTTAACATGGTATTAGAGTATATTAAACTTCAACAAGCAATTTGATTAGATTAAGATTCAAAAAACTGGGCAAGCAGATTTTAAGATTGATTTGTTCAAATGAGCTATCATCTTGTGAGGCTTATTAAAGGATAAATTTCATATCGAATAAAGGTGAATATATATATCAACATATAAGGGTTTGAATTACTTCTGTCAAAATGTGGAAAAATAAAATCATATTTGAGGTCAGTCCAAAAAATTTAGCATGCCCTGACTCCTGCCAAGAGATGATAAGGAGATGGGAAAATATCTCTCTATAAACCGAAAACCTATTTGCCAATAGGAGTATCGATTAGGAGTATAAGAGTATAGTAAGATCTTCCTAAAAGAGCTAAGAGTCCTATGGAGATAGATTA